ATATATATCTATTAATTGATGAACGTAGAATACTGTATATGTATTATAACATTCACACACACGCACGCACGCACGCACACGCACACTGAATCATTTAGAATGATTCAGTTGAAATGGAAGATATTCTACGAGAGGATATAGATTGACCACTCATTTAATTTCAATACATATATATTCACGACATGGCATCAAATGCTAACGATGTTGTCAATCAATTTAAAAATTTCTTAAAGATTCTTAAAAAGGAACAAGTGTTTGAGCGATCTGATGATCATCTTGTTATATAATTTCTTTATCTTAAAAATTTTTTTGTAAATATTAAGTGTAGTAAAAAGAAATCCATTATTTTTGCATGAAATTGAATGGAAAAATAATGAATTTCTTTTTACTACACCTAATAATAATTTAATAGTTCACTCCCGCGTGTATTAATCTTCTTTTTCTTTGAATTATTTCAATTGACTCATTGACTTGTTTTGTTTCTCAACATCATATTATTATGGCAATGTTCTGTTTAATAACATATTATTTATTTTATTTATTTATTTTATTTTATATAATATAATTCTCTGGATTAAATAAAATTTCAATTATTATTATAGTCTTATAATTGAATTATAATTTAAATATTTCACAAATAAATATAAATGTAAAATAAGTCGTTTGTTTAATTTATCTATATAAAACGGGTGTGTCTGTGAATAAAGAAATTATATTATTATTGATAAAGAAATTATTAAAGTTGATGTTTTAAACAATTGATATCCCTCTCATTAATGTGGTCTTATTGTCAGTAACATTTAAAGGATAATATATGAACTCTATACGAATTCAATACTATTTTGGGCGTACTTGATGGTAATATTTCTCGGATAATATCATGGGCAAAGTATGCATAATGGATGTGTCAACATTGCCTACACTGAAAAAAATATAGTCAATTTTAATAAATATTTAGTTGAATACTACCAACTAAATATTTATTAAATATAGAGATATATTTATTTGATACAAGAAATGTTAATTTGATTTAACAATCATTTTTTTTATTGAACAAATATTTACTGTAAGTAAATGTTTAGTTGGCAGTATTGAACTATTGAATATTTATTAAAATTAACTATATTTTTTTCTCAGTATACTTGTGGACTTTGTCCATATTAGTAACATTAAAATAATAGCAGGCTGATTAGAATAAGAAAATATTTTACATTATCACGAATTTGTCGTCCGATTATATTTGTGCAGAAAAAAACTATCATTTTCCCTGGACCAGTGAACGACCAGCAAATCGAAGAGATAATTCGACAGATTATACGACTGATCCGTGAGAACATCCAGTCCGTATTTTCATAATAAATTTTTTGCTTTGACGAGTATGAACTAATTGGCTCCTGTCTAACGGAAGTGTTGAATACTAGCATGTAAATGTAATTCTGTAAATGTAATTAATCAAATGGATAAAGTTCTGAAAATCGACTACCTCCAATTTCGATGAACTTTGTCAAAAGCTTCATTTTGAATTAAAATGAAAGCCCTTAAAAAGATTTTTGATGATTCCTAAGAAGCTATTTTTAAAAATAAAAAGTAAGATAAATAATAAACATTGATAATTATTTATTATAGGATCAAAGTCACCTAATGACTTTGATCTTGATATATATGATCATATCAAATTAAGGTTATTGGTGCTCCGTTCCCTGTAATAAATTATTACTCAAAATGTATTCTATTGTAAATGTAAAAAAATGAATTTATTTAATCAAAACAAAGAGGGAACTCAGTAACTTTTTTTCTTTATAATATACTTTAAGATTATTACAATTGATGATTTTCTCATTAATATAAATACTCATTATTTAACAATATAGGCAAAAGAAGGGCAAAGAGTCAGTAATGTAGTAAAAAGAATTTTAATTTAAATCATGAAAATAATATAATTACAAAGAACAAAACACGTTTCGACTCTGATCGAGTCATTCTCAACGGAAAATATATTCCAACATATTATTTATTTTATTTTATTTAAAAAATAGCTTTATCGTAGAAATCACCAAAATTTGTTTTAATCCGAAGAAAGAGAGAGAGAGAGAGAGAAAGAAAGAGGGAAGCTTTTCATAAAATTTTATCAAAATCTCGGAAGTAGTTTAGTTGGTTTTTAGAAATATATTCCAATCAGATTTATGTATAAATTAATTTGATTATTTTACTTTCCCATTTTTTAACTCTTTTTTCAAAAATTTATGTATATTGTTTAAAGAAAAAAGAATCGGCAAAAAATTTTTTAAAAAAATATTCATTGCTATTATTTGAATAAATTAAAAAAAAATCATAAATATGTTATGAGTATTTTGATAGTTCTAATTATTATAATAGCAATTTAATTAAATATATAAAAGCAATTGAAAGTTAACATGAACAAACACTCTAAAAAAGGTCCAGTTTCATAATTCATGGTTAACGTTTAACATTTTTCCATGTTAGAGGAAAATTTATAAAGAAAATCAACGAGATACTATTAAGAATTGAAAAAAATGTCCTTAATAGTATCTTGGTTTTTTTTATAAATTTTCCTCTAACATGGAGCAAAAAAATAAAAAAAAAAGAGGACAACATCACACGGTGTTCCCAAGCGGTCACCCATCCAAGTACTAACCGTGCTCAACGTTGCTTGACTTCAGTGATCGGACGAGAACTGGTAGTTCCAACGTGATATGGAAGTTGTCCGATTGTTTGTTTTTTGGAAATGGTTTTGAGAAGTTAATTACAAATTTATAAAATATAAATGAATTTGTAAATGAATGAAACTTTCAAAAAGAAAAAATATTAGATAGATGTTAGATAGATATTAAATCTATTTTGATCGAGAAACATAATGTTTTGTATCTTTTTTTTTTGAAGAAATATGTGATTATTAATCAAAGCTTCGTTATCATTTCACAAGCTACAGATAATACCACTAACAATTTGTGACCTTACAGTTTCAATTATCAATTAATGCGTATTAAAAATTTAAAAATGTGAAAGTTTTTGGTTTTATCAAAAAATATATTTTTCAATGATTTCAGGAGTAATTTGAAGAATTTGTTTTTTTAAAATCATCTCAGGCAAAATAATAGATCACGATATCAAAATGACATTAAAATGAATTGTGACTGATCGAAAAATAACATTTTATAATGTAATTATTTTAAAGTAATTTTGATGCCATTTTAATGTTACATTTTTGTTCTGTTTGGAAATTTAAGTAAATTACAGCTTAAGTAACTGTTCTCAATCATTTTTCTTATTGTTAGAGTTTCTTATGTTTATGAAAATGCTCTCATATAGTTAATGGAGTGATACAGGCGTCACTGGAGCTGATGGGCTATCCAATTCGTGGCAAAGGTATAGTCGGGCGGCAATATATCGATTATGCTTGTTAGGAAAAAATTCCTGGATCAAGTCAAGACAAAAGGATTATATAGAAATGTCTTACCAATAAGTGTGGTGATTACTTTATCAGGACAGCTGCTCATTGGTGGCACCGAAAATACGGTATTACTTTTGTTTATTGATCCTTTAATCTTTGAATATTATATGGATAATTTAACAATATAAAAACAACATATGAATCAATCTTATTGACAATATTTTCGAGAAGAGTAAATAGTAACAAATAATGATTTTAAAATACGTGTAATATTTTCGATAAATCAAAATATGAGGAAATTGCATCTTTTATATATTATAATTATATATTATATAT